TATCAAGTCCACTGTCAGATGCTGGGAATCATGAAAACTACTATGGCAGACGACTTCGGACTAGGTGCGTCTCCCTGAAAACAAGACTAAGTTGCGACAACGAGGTCAACCCACTTCAACCATTCTTTGTCTATACCTATTAATTTTATTTTGCCTGATTGAGATTAAATAAGAAGTATGATAGAGCCGAATACTCTTCCTGACCTAGTGTTAACGTGAGACTTTTACAAGAATGTGTTCCAGTTCTGAAGATGTCCATCACATAATGGGCGAAAGCTCAGCCCGTTTCACTCGAAGCGAACGAGGATGTCTCGTGGAATGTGTCAACTTGAACGTCGTATTGAAGCCAAATGGCTACAGTACAGCAAGAATCAACCGTCTTCTTCTGGTGAGACTGAACGTTGAAATATCTTCTTGATTCACTTTTATACGAAATGAAAGTCTCTCTGATAAATAAGAATAGTAGGGGTGTAAGGGATATTTCCTGATTTTGCGTAAACATAAAAAACTATAAGTTAATCAAAAGTCATCAAATTTACTTTTTCGTTGATTTAGGTCATTGAATAGGCTGTGCAGTAGCTTAAGTGTTCTGTCATAGTACCAGAATACTAATTGGGAAAATTTATTTATTATTTAAGCTAGACCGCTATTATCGTTTCTGATATCTGTTGCATCTTGAATTATACATTACACTTTGGGCGTTGTGCGCCCTACATTCATTAGTCTACTTACTGCATTAAACAGTGAGCATATTTTTCCCCTGGCTTCAAAACTCTCTTAATGAAATTTAGTTTTTTCACTTGATTTCGCTGAATATCAGAACTCTTACATTATTCCTTATTGTCTTTCTCTTATTGCATACGGTTTTATATGTCTCTCCTTCACAAAACCTTTTCTTTACCATTTTGCCCCTATTCTGTCATTCATTATTCTCCGTAATAGCATTAAGTATGCTTGTTTGGCATGGGAGGACTTTGAGCATCGACTTCGCACCGCCCTTCTCTGGTTAAAGGGTCAACGGGACCGACTGACTCTTCTTCTCAAGTCCATAGCTGAAGCGCAAACCCCGTCGAGCGACTCGGCCAATGACTCCCGAGAATATGATAGGCGCTTTGCTCAACTGGAGGTATGTGAAGTCCTAAGATAAAGTAGACATGTCTGGGCGATCGTTTGTGCTTTCTACATTTTGGCTAAAATACACATCTACCTAACGCTTGCAAGTGTACACATTTAGCTAGCCTTTTGGCAGATTCACACACGCCAAGAGAAATCCGTCGTCGTCTCCTGGTGGCACCGATCTTTACATTTCTTCACAACACACTTTCACGTGAAATGGAACTGACCTCAACAGAACTCACATCTTGTTTGGCACTGAGGATCCATCGTATCGTTGATTGCTTCTTTAAATC